TACCTCTCTCTCTCTCTACCCTCCCAAGAACTCTCTCTCTCTCTCGCTCTACCCTTGAAGAACTCCCTTCAAATCTTTTGTTTTCGTATGTTTATTTTGTTTGCTCTTTATTAACCAACTCGTAATTCTGGATGAGTAAAACTTAGATGAGAGAGAGAGAGAGAGAGTTTGGTAGCCGTCATTCTATTAACCTCATACCCTTGAGGAAAAATAAACGAGAAAGAGAGAGATGCTCTTTCTCTCTCTCTACTTTGTAATGAGAGAGGCCTTCATTAAATGCAATTGCACCCCCTCTACGCTCTGCAATTACTCCTCCCTGCCACATCTTCTCCACCTGTTCCCCACCTTTCCCCTTCCTCTTCTCCTCTCTCTATCTCTTCTCTCTCTCTCTGTCTCTATAACATAACATCATGGTCAGTCAAATTGGATAAAGGCTGTATACCATTTCATTTATCCGTTTTCATGGCTGCTGGATTAGACCTCTCTCTTTGAGCAGCCCCATAAGACAGCCTCTTCATCACAAAAAGTGGTTTTGCTTTCCGAAAGAGCCTGGTTTTCTTCTCTACTTTTCACTGGAAAAAAGAAAAAGAACCATCTCTGCAAGTCTGGATTCAGGCGTGTTCAAATGGGTTTTCCCGGCCATGAAGACCACTTCATCAGTAAGTAAAAACATGGATGGCTCTTCTCCTACTTCCCTCCCCTTAAACCACCATGTACTTTTACTGGAGTACTCTCTCTCTCTCTCTCTTTCATTCTTTCTCTCTATCACTTTTTTCTATGATCTCTTATCCCTCTTTTGATTTCCATTTATTTATTAATTAAATTTTGCAGATGGGTTTTTGTTTTGTTCATGGGTTTTGTTGTGTGAGATCTGATGACCCACCATTCCATTTCATGGGCGTCAAAAAGTCTTCTCCTTTGTCAAACTCTGAATGTTTGACACTGTCTCGCTATATTCTTGGCCCGTGTTTTGGCACGTTAATTAAAAAAGGAAGGGTAAAGATAAGGGCTCGATTTTAGGGCAACTGATAAATATCACACCGCCGGTTACGCCTTAGTACATGCACACATCTATCTCTCTCTGTATTAGCCCCTTTGGCTTCACCGGAATGTATGTTAATAATTCAGACATAGCAGTTGCAAGAGAAAAATAAGCAAAAACCGAAAAAGTTAGAGAGAAAGAGAGAGGGGTTAGACAGAAAGCTTTTGCAGGTGTTGAGGGAAGACATACCAGCCGGAACCATGATTCCGGCGAGACATGTGCCGGCAGTGATGGGAAGAAACTATTCTGGTTTTGGTTCCTCTGGGCTCTCACTGGGTGAGGTCAACTCCGCTCAAAACCCTAAAATTTTGACAAAAAAAAAAACAGAGAAAAGAGAGAGAAAAAGGAAAAAGAGAAATCAGGCGGATAAAAGACTGAATCTTTCTATTTCTCGTCAAAATATTTTACTCGGTAAAACTTTTCACACCCCAAATAAGGTATCCACTTCGATATGCGCGAAACGCCTATACTATGCTCTTACAGGAATTCAGAGACCCCTCTCTCTCTCTCTTCCCTTCTCTCTCTCTGTCTTGCATTTTATGTTGGGGTGGTTGGTGTGAAGTAGATTGAGAAATAGGGTGTATGTTCGTTCAAATCTAAAGGATCTATAGGTGTATTTCAGCCAAACATGGTGGAGGTGCCGCAGCAGCACGATATGAGCCAGTGTGCAGAGAGTGAGATTGGGAAGATGAGAGAGGATGAATTCGAGAGCAAATCCGGCAGTGAGAACCTCGAAGGGCCCTCCGGAGATGACCAGGATCCTGATAGACGGCCCAGGAAGAAGCGATATCATCGTCATACTCAACACCAGATTCAAGAGATGGAAGCGTAAGTGCAGAATGAGAGAGATGATGAAATCAGAGTCGATTTTCCTCTCAGACATGTAGAGAGAGTGTGTCTACTCATTTCCATGGAAGGAGAGAGAGAAGTAAAATTGATCTGTTTGATTTGAAATTTGCAGTTTCTTCAAGGAGTGCCCTCATCCAGATGACAAGCAGAGGAAAGAGCTTAGCCGAGAATTAGGGCTTGAGCCACTCCAAGTAAAATTTTGGTTCCAAAATAAGCGCACCCAAGTGAAGGTAATTTCTCCCTTTGTGACCACCCCTAAATGGAAAGTATTAAAAATATATAACACCCTAGTTATCCCCTCTCAAAGCGCCAAGTGTTTTTTAACCTTTTTTTGGTAAAAATGTCTGCTAAATTTGGCCCCTAGTGTCTTTGGTGTTTCAGACACAGCACGAGCGCCATGAAAATGCACAGCTCAGAGCAGAGAACGAAAAGCTCAGAACTGAAAATATGAGATACAAAGAGGCCCTCAACAATGCTTCTTGCCCTAACTGTGGTGGCCCTACTGCTCTTGGAGAGATGTCTTTTGATGAACAGCATTTGAGGATTGAGAATGCCCGGCTTCGAGAAGAGGTAGAGAGAGCAACCAGAATTTCCTTCGAAATAACTTCACATTCTTAGAATAATAACAACAAGAATTTCCTTCGAAATAACTTCACATTCTTAGAATAATAACATTGAAAGAACCATCAGCTGAATTTGAAAAGCAATGTCACCACGATGCTCTTTTTCTCTCTTTTTTTTTTTTTTTGTAGTTTAATGGGGATGGTTGTCTGACCTGTGGTAGGAATGGAACTCAAGAGACTGTGACTCTTTGCTACCCTAACTACCTAGTCTTAGCCCATTTCTATTAGCCTGTCTCTATATCACCTAGATGCTAACTAAGAGATGATTACAAATTATTGGTCTTATTATCAATTAAGCTGGTCTTTGGAGATTCTTACTACTATTATCTAGGAAAACTATATTTTATACTCGTAGGTAAATAATCGTGTGATCTGTTTCCTTAAAGTTTGCATTAAGGAAATTCCCATACCATTGTTTCTTCCTTGTTTGTCCAACTACATTTGAATCATGAATTCAGTTTGAATGCAAGTACATGATAGATTTTTTATCTCCTCTAAGGAACCCACAAAGTTAAACAGTAACATGAGGTTTTCATTTCTTTTCCATGCACAGATCGACCGAATTTCAGGAATTGCTGCAAAGTATGTTGGAAAACCAATGGTTTCTTATCCACCATTGATGGCACCGTTGTCGAGATCACCATTAGACCTTGGAGTTGGTAATTTTGGTGTTCAACCAAATATGGGTGGAGAAATCTATGGTGGAGGTGACATGGTCGGAAGGTCCATGGTTGGAGCCCCTGAACTCGACAAGCCTATGGTTATAGAGCTTGCAGTTGCAGCGATGGAGGAGCTGATTAGAATGGCACAATTGGGAGAACCGCTATGGATACCTGGAGTTGAAGACCCAACAGAGGTGTTATGTGAAGAGGAGTATATCAGAACGTTCCCTAGAGGCATTGGTCCAAGACCTTTTGGTTTAAAGCTTGAAGCCTCGCGAGAAACTGCAGTCGTCATAATGAACCCGATCAATCTTGTTGACATACTAATGGATGTGGTAATGAGAGTGATTTCTTGGTCAAGTACTTGTTTTTCTCGTTCTTCAAATTCTCTGATTAATAGAAGCTTATTATTTTTTCCCCTCCTCTCTTGTCTCTCACATCAGAATCAATGGTCAAGCGTCTTCTACGGAGTTATCTCTCGAGCATTTACTCTTGATGTATTCTCAACTGGAGTTGCCGGAAATTACAATGGAGCCTTGCAAGTGGTAGCTTTCCTCCTCTTAATTTAGAGGTGTTTAGGGGAAATGGTTGGAAAAGAATATAGAGATTGTCACAAGACTAAATTATCTCCAATTGTCTATTTACACCATGAATGTAAGATTAAGTTGGTGTATCTTTCTTTCCCTAACCATGATTCTTCAATTTCTCAGATGTCCGCTGAATTTCAAGTCCCCACTCCATTAGTTCCAACTCGTGAGAGTTACTTTGTGAGGTACTGTAAGCAACATTCTGATGGGACTTGGGCTGTCGTCGATGTTTCTCTGGACAGTTTGAGGCCGAGCCCCCAGGCCATGCAGCGCTGCCGAAGAAGGCCCTCTGGATGTTTGATACATGAAATGCCGAATGGCTATTCAAAGGTACTGAAGAATCCCATCAATAAGTTGTGCCGACCAACCGTTTGTCTTTTGTTAATACATAATTCTCAGGGCCATTATTCTAATTGTCGTTGCAAATCTATTACTGTAATAGCTGTATCAAATGCTGCTTAAAACTGTAGCTTCTGTTATAGTTTTCCTGTTTACTGTATAATCAATTGCTTTGCTTTATACATTTTTATTATGAGGGTCTTATGGAATACTACTTGTGTTTGTGTAATAGGTTACTTGGGTAGAACATGTCGAAGTTGATGACAGAGCAGTCCATAATATCTATAGGCCTTTGGTTAACTCAGGCCTAGCGTTTGGTGCCAAGAGATGGGTTGCAACCTTAGATAGGCAATGTGAGCGCCTTGCTAGTGTATTGGCTAGCAACATTTCAGCAAGAGACCTAGGAGGTATCATTGTTCCTCTTTCTCTCTCTCCCGCTTTCGATCTATCTATCCATCTATGGAAGTACCATTCTTCCGTTTTCTGGTTTAATTTCACTGGAAGGAATTCCCAATTTAAATTTCACACATCTAGCAACGTATCCTTTGAAATGAAAAAAATCTAAACATTTATTTGAACTTGGCTTGTAACACGTTATTTGTTTCCAGTTATACCTAGTCCAGAAGGGAGGAAGAGCATGCTGAAGCTAGCTGAAAGGATGGTAGTGAGCTTTTGTGCTGGAGTTAGTGCATCTACTGCTCATACATGGACTACATTATCAGGCAGTGGCGCAGAGGATGTGCGTGTTATGACGCGTAAAAGCATAGATGATCCAGGAAGGCCTCCAGGCATAGTTCTTAGTGCTGCAACTTCGTTTTGGCTTCCTGTTCCACCCAAGAGGGTTTTCGACTTCCTTCGTGATGAGAACTCTAGAAGTCAGGTATTCATTCTTTCATTACAAGTAGAAGCTTTTTGCTGAGGCTCTTTATATACCTTCCTGGATTTTTCTTAAAAAATATCCTAAGATCATTCCCTTTCGATTCCTCTACTCTGATGCCTAAACAATTTACTGAAAAACCTCTCTGATTTTCTTTGTAGGTATTTTATGCTACAAACTATTTATCTTTGTTACAAAGAGGTCACAATTGCTACTAGCCATTATATACTAACTTGGATGGCATAGGTTGTATCACAAAGTTCGAGAAATATTTTTTTTTGAACTTTGAGTCTAATCAATGACACACTCATAATTATGCAATTTAAAATCCGGTAGACAGGAGTGATTGTGAACTCCTTGTATTAAAAGTAAATAGTTTCTTTATATACCTTTCCTTTTATTTATATCCAAGTACAAAAAAAAAATATTTGCATCAATCCTTAAAAACCTCTTCGTTTTGTAATCCAAATCTTGATTTTAAAAAGATAATATATTATAGGAAGATAATATGATTTACTTTTTATTTAAATCAAACTTTAAAAAATCATCTTTATCTAATCTTTGTACAAGAGCATTGCTTAATGCATGTGCCATCAGCTAGTTGTATAAAATTCTGCCAAGTCTTATTGAATGGGATCTCTTATAACATGCATTTTCTTTGAATACTTCTACTTTTTTCTCATACTTTTCAGGTTTAAATTGATTTTATAACTGTAATGGTCACATCTAATTTAAAGCATCTAAAAATTACTCTTATTGGCATCCTTTTGCCAGATGTAAAAGATAAATGGATACATCGTATAAGAATGTCACAATTTCTTAAAAACTGAAAAAATTCATTGAGAAATTTTAATAAATGAGTAATATATGTTTGAATTGAAACATTTTGAATTTATCTTTCATCTGTTCTCTCAGCAGGAGATCGTGCAATGCATGTGCTATTAGCTATAGGTCTAGTTGCTAAAAATTCTGGGAGTCCTGTAGAGTTGGATCTCTTGTAACAAACACTTTCCTTGATTTTCTTTACTTTTTTCTCATATTATTTATATGTTTATGTTGATTTTACAAAAGCAGTGTGCCTGGACTTGCACCTTGGCTGAGGCTACTTATTCAGCCGAGTCTAACAAAGGGCCTTTTGGTCCTATAAAATTTTTAAAAAGAATAGAAATAATAAATATGTAGTGAGAGTAATTGAAATCCAAAACAACTTTAAAAGTTAAAACAAGCTTTAAAATGTTGAAAAAATGGATTTAGAGTTTGGCACATTTTAAAAAAAAAATCCAAAAAGAGAAAAATATAAAAATAATGATTATAGCACAAAAAAAAAAAGAAAAAGATGAAGAAAACACTTATCAATCTTTGCCAAATACATCGTAATCATATACAGAGTAATTATAAAACAATCTCACATTTTTTTAAAAAGATTTAGAATTCTTTTGAAATTTGTTTTATAACCCTAGTTCTGTACCCAACTCAAGGAAACTCGGCCTAGCTGAGTACTCACTGAATTTGGCGTGGACTCAGGTAAGTCATGGCACACTGTACAAAAGTAACGGTCACATCCAATTTAAAGAATATGAGGTGTATATTGGTAATATTTTGCCATATGTGAAAGAATACATCTTATAGGAATGTGTATAATTTCCTGAAAACTGAAAATTTTCTTTGAAGAATTTGAATGTCATGAGTAATATCAATATTTTTATTCCTACTGCATGAATCTATGTTATGTAAGCCATGATCACATCTTAATCCGTAATGCTTTCCACCTGCATAAGTAATATATTTATCTTTTTTGTGTATGTGAATGTGTGTATGTACACATGTAGGTGTTTGTCGATGATATCACATGCACCCTACATCACATAATAAATTCTTTTTATCAGTAAATAGTAGAAATATTGATTTTTCTTGCTTTTAACACCACTTTGATACATGTGAACAGTGGGACATTCTTTCAAATGGAGGTGTGGTTCAAGAGATGGCTCACATAGCAAATGGCCCTGATCCAGGCAACTGTGTTTCTCTACTTCGCGTAAATGTATATGTCTCACCTGCAACTTCTCCATGTGTTATGTATTTCGACTTTAATGCATCTATCTTTCCATGTCTTAATGTTCTCAGCACCTTACCTTTAAGTGTTTTTCCCTAAAAATTTCGTTTTTCTTTCCTCAGATTTCAGACAATAGAAATACTGCATGAATTTGTTTTAAAAATGATATAATAAATATTCATTTCGTGATATATCTTTTACTTTTTTTGGGCCTTTCTTTGGATTATATTTTGCTCCAGGAGGGATTTTAAACGATTAGTATCTTATGCATGTCAATTTTGAAAGTATGGGAATCTACATTTTATCCCCATAAAACAAAATTCCCATTAGATGAAGATTGTCCTATTTTCTGATTTGTATAGTCCTTGTTTTCCAATTTACTTTGTAGGAGTTCTGAGCAGAAAATATAATCTCTCTCTCTGAATTGGCAGAGTGCAAACTCGAACCAGAGCAACATGCTGATACTGCAAGAGAGCTGCACCGATTCATCGGGCTCCTACGTAATCTATGCCCCTGTCGACATTGTGGCAATGAACGTGGTACTGAATGGGGGCGACCCCGATTATGTCGCCCTTCTGCCCTCGGGATTCGCAATTCTACCCGACGGAGGACTCCAGCCTCCATCTCCCTCACCTCAATCAGCACCACCAGCTGCAGCAATAGGGGAGGTTGGATTTGGTGGCTCTCTTTTGACGGTGGCCTTTCAAATCCTGGTCGACTCGGCCCCCACTGCTAAGCTCTCTCTCGGATCGGTAGCCACAGTGAATAGCCTCATTGCATGCACCGTTGATAGGATCAAGGCTGCTGTTACATGCGAGAACGCATGATACGGGAAAGGCACCCCTTTAAATCTGGGGGTGTCTTTCTCTCTCACTCAGGTTGGCTTTCTTTTCTGTCTCCCTCTTTCGTTTTAGTTTAATTGAATTGAAGACCTTAACTTATACTTCAATATTAGAAAATGTGCTTTTGTCCCGTTTGATCTACATACCGGTCCAAAATTTTTTCTAAAAATAGAAAATGATCTATTTATTGATGCAATTAGAAAGGTTGGTCAACCCATTTTTTTTTATTAACATCTTTGGATCGAATTTAATTTTTTTGTTGTTTAGGTTTTCACTAGTAGGGCACTTTCTTAAAGCTTGGGGTACTTCCTTAAATATTGGGGTACTGCCCTATGAATGAAAAAACTAAAAAAAAAAAATTTAAATTATAACGTAGGGCAAATTAAAAAAAAAAAAGAAAGTAGGCTAACCGATATTCTCTGTAATTTCTGCCTATAGCATTTCGTATAAATCACTCTTTCATCTAAACATTTTTTTACCTGTTTCTATAGTTCTCTTTATATAATTTTACTTGAGATTTGCTTAGAATATTGTACGGAGAAACAAATATTGGGATCTACGATTTACAGTTTATATGATCAATAAGTTCCTAATAAGCAAATTTGTTTACCAATAACCAAAGAGATTACAACACTTTAAAATTGAAGTATTAATTTTTTTTTACTGAATCCCCATTTCTTCTTTTGGAATTTTTTTCACTTTTTAACCTCCGATAAAATTTCTATAATGAGAAAGCTAGAACAAAGTGGGGAATAAAGCATGGAAATTTATAATATATATGGATACACCTAGGTGAATTTCTATTGACTACTTGGTTGATCATATTGTTTTCTTTGCATGTGTAACTTTGTTAGCTACTTGTGGTTTAAACATTCAACTTTAAACAATCAAGGATGCAGCTTTAGCACGATAAGCCTTGTCTAAAAATATATACAACAAGTCTATATAAGGTGTCGGCCTTATACTGTGGAACTATGGCACGCCTAAAAAACCCATTGGAAAAGATTGTTTTGATGTTGGAAAAACCCCTCTAATTGATCATCTCCACCTCGAGATGTATGGAAATGGAAAAAAAAGAATTACTAGTCCTAAATGTACTACATTTTGTATCTATTTCCAAGAGTTTATAAGTGTTTTATAGATCTGTTTGATTTGTACTAATTTTAAAGTTTTAAATTACATAGGCAAAAATCATTTTTTATGCCATTTTAAAAATTTCACACACCAAATTTACATGTTCCAACGAAGTTTGGAGGTTTTCCTTTGATTTTTTAGCATTGACACTTTATACAATCCACACACAAAATCTATTTTTATGAAATTTGAAAATAGATTGATAAACAATTGAAAATCTTGAACATTGATGGTGCATGTAATGTATTACATGATGCAATAGTTTTAAAATTTGAGAGCTTTAAATTTTCCAACATCAAAATAATCTGGGCTTTTAAGGTGCCCTTTAATTTTTATAGTATAAGATAAAGGTATATGATTTCATGTGTTAGTGAATAGTCAAACCCCTTTGAGTAATTGTATTGTTTATTGGCTTGTGTAACGTGCGTGCGTTATGTTGGCAGGCGGGAGGGAATTTTCCCAAAACTCAAAGACGGAAGTCAAGAACGCACCGCAGATGCTCCTTGCCACGTGGTGTGTGTTGATTGGTTGTCACATCACCACCAAGCAAGGGTATTGGTTCGGGTATTGACTTTCCCGCTTCTCCTTCCAACTCCCCGCCTTCACTCACAACAAACAAAACAAAACAAGAAAAAGTGAGCAAGGAAAAGGACCCTACTCCTCTTTATCTCCCCCTGTTTTGTTTACCGTGGGGGTGGTGTTTTTAACCTTCTCTATTTCTCTCTCCTCTTTCTCTCTCCCCTCTTTCTCTCTCCTCTCTTTCTCTCTCTATCTAACAATGTGTGCTTTGCACTTGGTTAATGCTTGAAAATTTGTGAATGTTACGTCCTAGGCTCACTTCCTACCAAGTATGGGGCCAGTGTTTGCAAAATCAAATCAGAACGGTTTATCGGACATGTGCTTGGAAGCGGTTTAACTGACCTAATCAGTAAACCGGCTGATTCAACTATTCTAACTGAGTAAGTTTTAGACAGTAAAACAAGTGATGAAAAAATAAAAGAGATACCCAAAAAAGAAAAAAAACTACAAAAATATAAAAAACATATAAAGAATGATTAAAACAAAATACAATCAAATGAAGTTAAAAATTAATGAAAAATATATTTTAACAAATCGATTTTTGAATTAAAGTGAGTATTAATGAAAAAAATAATTTAATCTTTACTATAATGTAAAGAATATTAAAAAATGCATTACAAACTGAATTCTTTATTTTTGAAAATTTATATACATTTTTTAGAATTTTTTCTTCTAAATACCAGTCTATCACTAAAATCACCCAAAAGTGAAGCTGGCCATTGATCGGTTCCGATCTAACCAAGCCATTAGCGGTTAGCGGTCAGATCGCTCGATTTTTCTAACAATGGTAGGGCCCTTTCCCTATTGACCCTCCCAAACAAAACAGTTGATGCTTACGTAGTTGTGCTTTGCAGAAGCACTATGGCTCCCTATTTTCTTATGGGCTATCGGGATTTCAATCAATTGCATTACCATTATTCAATTTCGTATAGCCAATTTCTCTAACAATTTAACCCAGTCCAAGCAGACCTTAGTCCCAAAATATAGAAACTAGAATACTAACGAAATCATGATGAGGGTATTCTGTTAAAATTGAAGGATGTGGTTTGTATAAGGTGCCTTCCTCATTCTATAGAAGTAAGGGCTATTTCGAGATTTTGTCCAGAGAGTAATTCCATCCCCAAAATCGTATGATGGCATGCAAATCTGTTTTTTATCCCTTCTTCAGAAATTTAAAATTTCAAAGTTGGTAGAAATCGAGCTGGTCTATAAACACTTGAAAACAAACAACCCAGATAAATTGTTATAAAATGTACAATTTTTAGGACTTTAAATTCTTAAGTTCAAGATGATTAAATTAGAATACTCTCTTCAAGAGGATTTTTAAGGCTCACCTTATTTCAATAATATAAGGTTCACACGTTTTATAACTTTTTCCAAAATGAAAAACATTAGATGGTATCTTTCACATTATCAAACGGAAGCATTTGTGGTGTTAAAAGTAGTTACACTATGAAGCTCTTTTAATCACATCATAAAAATCAATATCTTCAAGAAAGATTGACAGGGGTGGATTAGGTTCCCACCAAGATATTGGCAATGGATCCTGTTGCACAAAATGACTCTGAAATATATAGAACGAAGTCACAAAATACGATTTTTAGTTTTATTGGCTTGATGATAAGTTCATTACCTTTCACCCCCTTTGTCTAGAACTTACGGTTACAATTCCATTGGTATATATATATATATATATATATATATTTCATACCTATCTCAACTATTTGAGATCAGACACACAAATCATGTTGTCATTCCATTTTATCAAGGGTCACACTCTCAGTCAAGTATGTACATAAATTGCTATATATAAATTCCAGTTTACAACCATATTTAATACCTAAGTACCACACTTATGCTCACAATGGACAACTTAACTCACATGTTCGCTAAATTATTGTGAGATACCTGTTAGGATTTAAGAGCTTTCTTAGATGCAGAAACAGGAAACCTAAAAGTTGGATCCGATCAAGAACATGTATTTATCTACCTAGAAACAAAATAAGTGAGAGTAAAAGAGCTACATCTTAAAACATTAAACACATGCGCCACAAAAATGCAAAGATTTACGTGGTTCATGCATTCACGAGCATGAGAAGTAGAAGTCCACTATACTAGTAAAAGTTACATCACATATTCTGGACACAATGTTACCTCTTTAATCATCGACAAAATCCAACCGAGTAACCCTTTTAGACCCGCTCTCTTGATCGACATCACCCACTGATCTCCTATCTCTATTTCGTTACCAAATCGTTGTCCAACCCATCTCTATTCAATAGCTAAACAACTGTCCAAGAAAAGAACCTTAAGAGCGACCAAGATTTTCTCTCACTAAAAAGAGAAATCTCCCAAATCTCTATGAGAATCGCATCTCTACAATAAACCATCTATCGGTCTACAGGAGGCACTATCGTTGTATTTCTCTCCATTGAAAGCTCTCTTCTTTCTAAGGGGAGGGCTTGCCTCTCATACAAAGGAGACCCGACCACACACTCTCGCTAGAGGAAGCCACATTTCCTATATAGTGATCCAAATAAGGGATACATATTGTTTCTTCTCTTATTATATATACTAGTTGGATTACATATGTTGCACATAGAACAACATGACCATTAATAATATAAATACGTAGTATTAACATGAATCTCTATGCAGATCCTTGTTCAAAGAACTCTTACAAATTGAGTGGTTTCTAGGGTTACGACTCATTTCCTGTTATTACATCGTCGCTACAAAGAATTGAGTGATTTCTAGGGTTACGATCCATTTTCTGTTATTACATAGTCGCTACAAAGAATTGAGTGGTTTCTAGGGTTACGACCTATTTCTTGTTATTGCATAGTCGCTACAAATTTTGAATATGCATAGAACAAGAATTCAGTAAATCCTAAAACATATAAGATATGAGTGCCTTCTAGAGTTATGATCTATTTCCTATTACATAATATCATTATAAATTTTGAAGATATTGTGAATGCGACAAATATGACATGTCTCGAGGCCTAACAAAGTTTGCCAGGTATTTACATGAATATAAATATAATTATTAGAATAGTAATTTTCTAAATTAAGAAAATCTTTTAACATTTTTTTATTGTAGATCAAAACAATTATCATCATAGATAAATATTGCACTACATAACAATGAACATATGTCTTTGATTTTATGGAAGTGCAACATGCATGATGATAATAATAATAAAAAAAAAACATAGCATCTATTCATGGGGGCAATTCCATTGATGTCGATAAACATTACACGACATAAAAATAAACATATGTTATTTGATTTCATGTAAGCACAAAATACACGATAAACAACAAGAAACGAAAAAAAAAAAATAGTATGCATGGATAATGTCAATTCCATTGAGTTTTGGTAGTTTTATTGGTGCATGCATGGACCATTATAAATTAAGTAATTGGTTTGTGGTTTTATCAATAGTTTTCTAAAATATTATTGCAAACAATGAAAAAAGTAAAATTATTTCATTATTTTATTACTACTACTGCTTCATACCTTTAGAGAGGAAAGAAATTACTGTTTTTTGTTCCTTTGATCGAGAAGCTAGTTGAGGATATTAAACAAAATTTAAAAATATACAAAAATCCCAAAAAAAAAGGAAATCTATTATGTTTTCTATATTTATTGAAAACTATTTTTGTACAACTTGGGAATATTTAAAAAACTATAAAAATTTCCAAAAAAATAAAAAAATCTATTTGTAATACATATATTTATATATTTTTTTATCATTTTGGATAATATTAAAAAATACATTGGCCATGAATACTTATTTTTACATTTTTGTAAACATAGACTCTTACTTACTTCAATCTATACCTAAAACATCGCATGCAATGAAAAGCATATTAGATAATTACACTAAAACTAATTAATCATGTGATATGGAGAAAACACTAATAACTAAATTACCTCAAATATTGTTACTAAGGAAAAAGCAAAAGATACGTACCTGATTGAGAGTAAGGAAGACCTATGCAGCAAACAGAAAAAAAGATAACAAAAGATAACAAAAGATAGGAAGAAGCTAATATAGTTTATATGAGAAAATGGCTTGGGTGTGCCTCCTTTAGGGTTTTCTAACTTCTAT